GTATGCGTCTTTACGCATGGGTGCCAAATTCCTGGCGCGATTCGTTTCTTAAATTACAGAGTAATTGAAAATTTATTTAAAGACATTCAAATATGTTGTGATGATTGTGCGCGATAAATGCGATCATTTTTATATTTTATTGTTTTTAAATTCCTAACAAGGGAGGTGTTTTTACTTAGTGGTTTGGAATTTTGCACACAAACAGATCAAGAAATTCTCAAATTTGAAACTTCGGACCCAAAGTTTTGGGACTTTTTGGAACTTTTGCAGAAAACGACATATGTGTGCAAAATTAGAAAAAATTCCAAACCACTAAGTAAAAACACCTCCCTTGTAAGAAATAATATATGTACATATATTCAATCTTCTGTGATAATTCATTTTTTTTTTCGAAATCCCGCATTTATTTATTTTATTTCTAGACTTTAAATTGGAGAAAAAAGAGGGTATTTCAACAGGAAAAATGCACGTAAAAGAGCTTTGCGGAATTCATTCATCACATCATATTATGACGAAATTTTTAAAGATTCGTAAATCTGGAAATACTCGCGCAGCGGCCAAAAAATCATAAAATCAAAGACTTCGTTTGTTAACGAGCATTGCGTGAATTTCGTATTATTCAAAATTAAATCGATTTTCTTTTTTTCATAATTTCAAAATTCTTTGAGCGTTTTGATAACTGAAATGCGTAAATACTCCACTGATTGCTGAAAATTCCGCATTTTATGACCCTTGTTTATTAAGGTTTTTATTTTTAGGACACAAAAAAAACGATTACTGACTATTATTGTTGCAAACAATTCTTTGGTGTTTTTAGAGTACTTCTTAATATTCATTCTGAATGTTTCGAAACATTTTTTTTGTCGATCTCGCATGTGCTCAAAATCATTTGATCGTTGACGGAATCCACTTGAACACATTAAGGATTCTCGACGGGGCACACCTACTAGTATATAAAAGTCTCCGCATATTTTTCCCACTATTCGTCGAAAATTCATACGCAATCAAAATATTCGCAAAGCTCAAAAAAAGTGAGAGAGCACGAGAAAATGGAATAGAATTTGACTTATCATCAGAAAAAATAATGAAAGAAATTTTGGTAAAAAGAACTATCAATTTTTTATTCGCATTTTCAGCCATGCATGTCAAAAAACGCATCATTTTTTTGTCGCAATTCTCAATGATGAGAATTGACGAAACGAACTCGGTTCATTTGCAATCTGATTGACAACTCAATGTGCGCGTTTTGAAAAAAGATAAAAGGTTCAACAATTTCAATTATCCACCTTTTCGGATGTTTTCCGTATTTTTTTTCTGCTCATTCCGAGTTTTTCTCGTCTAATTGTTTAATGGTCGCAAGTGTGTATGTGTGTTTTTTGCTTACCAATTAATTGTCAGAGATGTCTGCGATTGACATGTCTGATCTGAGCATTGTTCGAATAAAGTTCAATGTTGGAAATATTCGCTTCATGCGCGCACAAAACTCGAAATTTCTATTTTGAATTGTGTGTTTGGTTAATTATGCTAATGATGAAAACAAATTTATGACAAGTCTCGGCCAACTTCAAGAGATGAGCCATTCCAAAGAACGAGAACCCTGGTTGTTTACGGACCATCGTTATTCTTCGGTAATTCAAATTTCCAATGAAACAATGGGTTTAACGTACCACTCAAACTCACTATAATTCACACTAGGGCTATGGTAAAAATATATTAATTAGAAGAATCATTTTTCATTTTTGTCAACTTATTTTATTTTTCAATAGATTGGTTTTCAGAAATGAAATTTCTTTGCAGTTGTTTTGCAAAATGATGATATCCCTACGAGACCATCTTGGCCAATGTAACAGTAATGTTTCTGAATTGTTTCCAGTCCCACATAATTAGTTTCTTAAAATGTATTACACGTACAAATAGTTGACGTATTCGTCTGGGGAATTCTAGACATTATTTATTTATTTTTCTTTTATTGACAAAGATGAGAAAAAAAGGGAAATAGTTGATGTACATTGCAATTAACGGATGCATATGATGTGTGGGATGCAATCAATCATTCATCATAACAAGCACACAAAACTCATAAATAGGTACTTGAAAGGATGCCTCACCCCTTCCGTGATGATTTCTCCTCGGCTCGGTTCTTTCTTTTCACGGGAGCATCTGATTCAGCTTCTCGCCTTCTTCTTCCATTCTTCGCCCTTATCGTCCATTTTTGGTTGGATGTTTGTGTGGTTGTAGTGCGCTTTGATCAATCAATTGCACATTTCGGATATAAATGAGGGACAGAGGAGACAAGCAAAAAAAAAACACACTCGAGCATTCGACACGGAATTAAAATGACAACAGTTGGCGGTGCGGCAGCAGAGTCTCTTTTCTCGACCGACCGTGTCTTGTTTTATTTCTGATCATTTTGCTACTGCTTCGTCTTCTTTTTCTTTTTCTTTTCCCATTTTCCTGAATTGTTTTCTTTGAATATCACCTAAAACAATATAATAATTGAATTTCATTTGTTTTCTTGGGTTATCCCTTTTCTTCCAATGTTGTAACTTTTTTTGAAAATTAAATCATTAAAAAATGAGTTAAGGAAAATTATCAATTTTTTAGTTGTATTCATATATAATTTCAATTCAATTTCCTATCCTTATTTTTAGTTTCTCCGATAATTTTTTTGTTTCTGATATATATATTAAAAAATGCTACCAGAATTTTCGTTACAAGAATCGTTCAAAACAGTATTGAATGTTTGTCTAAAAAAATAAAACAATCTGCCATATTTCTTTAACATATTTTTTTATATTTTAGGCTGATTTAAAATGTAGCAAATTCCTGAGGCGATAATTGCAGACAATTCGAATGTTTTCAAATTATTTTTGAAGAAAATATTTGTCTTGTTTTAGCTTAAAAAAACATCAACAACTCTCGCCAACCGCAATTCAAATCTTCTAGACATTGCTACATTCGTATGATGTTTTCAATTAATAATTCAATCTTTAATATGTGTACCAACCTTGGCGTGCGTCCAATTCATTTCACACATTTCTGCACAACCTCTTTCACTAACTCATCAAACATCAATACTTCGAGTTCATTCATATCAAAAGAATGATTTTCCCACGAGAGCTGAAAGATTGATTTTGACTATTCACCTTCGACGTTTTTTGCTCATTCAGCTGTGGAAATAAGGGCATCATGATGAAATTGTGACGCCTTTGCACGAGTTTCTCAAATCGAATGACTCATCTCTAGAATTTCAGATCCTGTGGTCTGAATAATTCTTAAAAATAAGGGAGGTCTTTTTGCAGTCCATTTTAAATATTTTTTTTTTTGCATACAGATTCTTTAGAAAATTTCGAATCGAATGAACTAGGTCCCTACCTGCGAAAACTTTTAGTTATCGAGATATGGACCTTCAAAGTTTTAGCCCCTCCCCACGTGAATTTTGCATACAAATGAGCGAAAAAATCGAAATGAAATAGTGGTTGTAAGATGAAGACATTTTCTAAAACTTGATATGAATCTCTATGATGCGTATGATTCTTCACTCAAAAGCAAATTTCAACACAGTGATTAATTAAACGGGAATCGCCTTCTCAATCGATTGAACCTTTTTTGACGCCTACACGAAAATACCGTGAGAATCGGATTGAGTGCATTCTACGCAAATTCTCGGGAACATTCAAATGGAAATAACCGACTTTTTGGTCGAACTGAGCTTATTTCATTTTGCAAACACTGCATTTTTTTTGAAGGAGAAGAAGAAGCCTACGCGAAATGTAGATCAGGTGCATCTCAGTCGAACAATACAACGTTTATTTTGCTTATTCATTCGTCCTTCTTCACACTCAATAGTTAGTTTACATTCAGTTTTAATTTTCTGAAAAGTTGTGTCTGCCGCAATTCGTCATCTCGCAATCGGATAGCCCCTCCCCTCATCAACACAACTCCAGCCTCTGTAAATTCCGATTTTGATATTCAAATCAATATTGCAATGAAATCGAACGTTATGGCTTTCGTCATTCACACAAAAACAAGCAGTACTGATTTGATTCTGTAAATGTACTAGAAATTTAAAACACTAATCCGTTTGTACTTTTCAGAACTCGGCGATAAGCCAATTTCCAGGTGGTAGATCACAATAGAAGTGTTAGCACGCTATTTTCTTCTCTACGTTCATTATTTTTTTTATTCGCGCGTAAATTGCTCGTCTCAAAGTTTCAGCTCGTTAGATGCTATTATACGATTTTTTTTTGCTAGCCAAAAACAACTCGACAATTCATTCTGCATTTTCTTCGCCGAGCATTTCATCGGTGACCAATCAAAAATTTTTCTCGCTCTTAATGAATGTGGACAAGTAAACGTTTTTTGGGTGTACTCGTTCAGAAATCTTTAATCATCGTGTAAAAGTGGAATATCAACTCGGAATGCCGTTTGTTCCCCCATTTTCGAAGACCTTTAAGTCGAGATTTCAAATTTTGTCAATCAACGAAAAACAAGCATAGATTCCATAAAATGAACATCAGGTTTCTATAAATAAAAAAAACTTGAATTTTTTTTATTAACTTCTTTTTTACCTAGCCTGTATTTCTCAAAATTAAATTCTGCCAAATTTAAAATATTCATAACTTATTAAAAATGAATCTTTGAATAGAGCCCTACCACACTGAAAATATTTGACTCATATTTCTAAAAGCAAAAAATAAGAAATGTGAAATCAGACGGAAATCATACAAATTATCAATTCACATTAGCCAAGCTATTCGCGAATTTTGCGATTTGCGTTTTCTCGTGTTTTCCCCGGAATCTGAGCCAGTCGGCAGAAGTCGAATTTCAGCATTTTTCTCCGCTCATAATTTTGCTTGTTCTGCCCCGTCCATTCATTGATATCAGCACACTCGTACTCCGTGATTTTCCCACTGAATTGACGCCAAATGACTAACTATTATTTTTGCTAAATTTTCAGTTTTTCGACGACCGGTCACAAATGGACTTTTGATGCATGAATGAGCGAAGAAACGTCTGGAGAATGTCTGCAGATCGCAGATGCGATCAAAGCACAGGGTATCGATGATATCACTGAGTAAGTCGCATCATTTTTTTTCAACGAATACTCCGATTGTTGAAAATTTTCGAATTCGCTTAAAGTGACTGATATATCTGCAAATATCAATACAAGTTTTTTCATAGTTTGCGTGTATTGTAGACGTCGCGCAATTGCAGAAAATTTGCTAGATGAAACGAAATATCAGACACGTTTTAACTATTCCTTAGCCCATAAATCTGCATTTTTAAATTTGGGCAAAGACTGCTGCCAGTTTTTTAAGCGTGCAGTTTTTACCTGGTTTGTCAAATCCTGGGCCACTTTTTTTAAAAATTTTACGGATGAGCTAGAATTTAAGAAAAAAAAACATCGAAATCTGGCCTCCTTTCAGCCCCGCTGTGAAAATGACAAGTATGGTTCTTAAAATTTTTGCTTGACGAGCTGATTTCGAAATAATCTTAACTAGTAAGTAACAGAGATTCTAAAAAAAGTTGCGGGATAATATTAAATAGTAAAAAAACTACGAAAAAATAGATATGATTAGATTATGTGCATACATATAAGGGCATGTGATGTTTTCTTTCTAAAGACTGTAGCTTAATCCATCTTTTTTTAAAATTGAATCTTGTGAGAAATAATTCTCAGCAATTTCTATTCATATCTATGAATAAATATTCGTATCTATGAATAAAAACTATGAATAAAGTAATTTCGTGATTTCAATCAAATCGTTCAATTAATAATCGCAACTTGGTGTCAAAAATCAATCCAGCTTCACCTTTCAACAAGTTGTCGCAAATGTCAAACAAATTGACAAAATTGTCCATCTCATGTCGATCCGCTTTTTTTAAAATCTGTCATCAGTTGTTTTGTCAAGTCAGTTGTTTGGCGATGGCGATTTTTTTGTTTCGCTAACATAAAACGACGTTCGCTTGATTCTAAATCCATTTTTCAGGGACATCTACATTCGATCAGTGTTCACATTCCTCTACGGATTCCTATTTATATTAGGTTCTCGCTTCACTTTTTTTTCATCACGAAGCTTATTTTAGGAATTCTGGGAAACGGTGGAGTGTTATGGGCAGTTGCTCGCAATAAACGCCTTCAGTCTGCTAGGAATGTGTTTTTACTCAATCTGATATTCACCGACTTGATACTTGTATTCACCGCAATTCCCGTCACCCCATGGTAATCCATTTCTCTAACTTTGGCAATGGGGCTCCCTCTTACCTGTGCTGGGAATTGTGGTCCTATCATCTCCCCCAATTTCATTTTCATCGGGAAGAAGACAAAAAATATTAAATGTTCGAAATCGAATCTTAATATCACCATATCATTTCATCAATTGATCCAAACATTGATAGGAGTGGTCTTTCAAGATTAGAGTGTCCGAACCTTTTTTTTTACGATTTTTCTGAAAACCTCAAAATGTGGTGAAATTGAATTTCATTAAAAAACTTATCGTGTCCTTACGCAGATTAATATGCGAAACCTACATTTTCCTGATTTGAACTAATCATTCGATCATTTAAAATTTGAAAAAAAAAAAATATTATTCTTATTTGAAAATTTAGGTACGCAATGACAAAGGACTGGCATTTCGGTCCCGTAATGTGCCATTTAGTTCCATTATCAAATTCTTGTTCTGTATTTGTGACAAGGTTTGATTCTCGTCGTCGTTTTCGATATTCATTATGATATTTCAGTTGGAGTCTCACGGCGATCTCACTAGACAAATTCTTACATATCAATGATCCGACAAAATCTCCAGTTTCCGTAAGTATTTTCACATGAAAATTGGAAACTCCATATTTGCAGATCCGCCAAGCATTGGGAATCACATTCCTTATTTGGTTGGTATCGACACTCATCAATATTCCATATTTGATGTCGTTCGAACATGTCGATGGATCGTTCTATGTTCCGAAAGGATCAACGCCATACTGTGGGCATTTCTGCGATGAAGCGAATTGGCAAAGTGAGCACTCGCGCAAACTTTATGGAACTACCGTAATGCTGCTGCAGGTACAGAAAAGACCCGGAACTAAACATATTCTTTTCATTGAATTAATGAATGCGCATACTCGATTAAGCCGTCAATAGGAAAACTTTTGATGATTGATGGCCTTTCATTCATTACTCATTTTTTGCAGTTCGTCGTACCGATGGCGATCATCACGTTCTGCTATTTTAAGATTCTTGAGAAAGTCAGTCGCGATATGATCATACAAAATGCGCAATTTTCTCAATCGCTAACACAGAAACAGAGGACAGAAGCGACATCGAGAAAGAAAAAGGTTCGATTTGAGTGCTCTTTAATTAAAAAAAATCGATTCATTGAAACACCCTCACAAAATATTTCAGGTGAATTACACTCTTATTGGAATGGTCGTCACTTTCATCGGATGCTGGCTGCCGCTAACGCTCGTCAATCTTGTCAAGGATTTTAGTAAGAATTTAATTGAAATCAATTCCAAATTGAAAATCACAGAGCAAGAGCCTCAATTCATGAAGAATCAACCATTCTTCTGGTCATTAGTCGCACATGTCATCGCAATGTCGCTCGTCGTTTGGAATCCTCTCTTATTCTTCTGGCTAACGCGCAAACAGAAACGATCGGGACTCAGCAAGATTCTCAACTCGACAGAGGTAATTCCATCGTAATCGGTGTAGCTGTTCGGTGTAGTTGCTCGATTCGTGTCGTCTGCGTAGCATTTCCCCCCGCAAGACTCCCTTCATCAACTTCTTCCTCTTCTTCTTCTTCTTCTAACTGTTCTTGTGCATTTTCAACTTTCCAGGCAGTAGCTTCGTTTGCAAGTCGACTCAGCAGTTCGATGCGGCGTTCCACACTTCGTCGAAAGAATATCGAAAGGTTGGGTTTGTATCTGAGTTTTTCCCCCCGCTAACCGTCTACTTCTACGCTAACTATAAATTATATAATATATCAGTTTCGTTTAGTAGGAATGCATTATTAAGTTGGGAACTCGGCAGAAAGATAGCATGGAAAAAGTTGCTTATTTGTTTTTATTAGTGTAGATAATAAGTTTTAAATATTCATTTGTAAATCAGAAAGAAACCATTAGTTTGATAATTGAAGTGTTAAAACCAACAAAATTTGAAATGAAGATACCACCCAAACTCGAAAATTTCCTATAAAAATTACCGCCAAAACAGCAGTTTTTACGGACTGGAGATATTTTTTCGATTTTCTTGCAAATACATTTCTATTTTTGGTTTTTCATCTTGATAATATTGAGGTTTAAAAAATCAGAAAAATCTTTAAAAAAACCGTGACGATATAAGTAGTTTCATCGGCACATCGAGTTTGGGGGGGGGGGTTCTTTAAAATCTGGCCAAACTTACGAAAAACATTTATATCGAGATATCATTCAATATTGATTTCAGAGTTCGAAAAAAGGAGGTAGTGTTGGATTCCGAGGGCTCCAGCTACATGACTTGCTCACGTCCCCTATTGATTCGCACCGAGCTCCAGCCAACTCTTTCTGATGGCTCCACATCCTACCGGGAAATGTTATGATGGAATAAGCGTGTATACAATTTTTTGATTTGGATTTTATCCTTCATCGGGTCTCTTGTTCATTATTTGTTTCTGTATGTGTTTGAATATTGATTATGGTATGTTTCCTTGTTCCCAAAAATGTTGCCATTTATATACCTTTTCCAATACAAATTATTATTGTGTGTTAGGAATTCTTCAAGGAAACGGGTCGTTTATTTGATTTGTCTTGTTTATTAAAAAAATAAATGACTACTGTTCATTCAACTCGAGCATCATGCCAACAGCTTCACTAAAATTAATCATATGGCGTATTATTTTCGGTATTATGCAAAATTTTGAATAGAAATCATTATATAGTATATTTATAAGGGTTTTTGATATTTTTGTGCAAATCTGCATTATTTCCAAATTTGAACAAATTCCCGATTAAAGGAATAATGAACGTAAATACACAGGCATTTTCTCAACATTCAAATATATCGGGTTCGGAGAATTCGACTTTGAAGATTTCAAACAATTTGGCCAGCTCTAATATCTTTTTTCGCTCCATGTGAAGTTTCTGCAAAAAAACGAATAATAATAATACATGTTAAAACTCGACCAATTGTATATTACCTGTGTATCATTAACAATTGCCATCAATTTTATTAAACGAGAAGCATAGTTTGGTCGTTTTTCTTGAGTTGCATAGTATTCATGAAAGTTATTCGCATATTCATCGCAAACTGCGTCCGAAACGTTTGCGACGTTTCCTTGAATTATTTTGCCTAAAACGAAACGAATTACAAATCGAAATATTTAAAGATAGCACTAAAAATCTCAACTTGATGCGAAAAAATCGATCGAAAATTAATTTTAAACGAATGTGGTATTTTTTGGGGGGGGGGGGTTTTATGCGATATTTGTGTGTTCACGGGGTTTTCATGCATCAAGACCATAGACAAAAATGAATGATATTCTCTAGAAAATTCAAAAAATATCTCTAGTTCGCAAACACTGCTGCTTCAGCGGCAATTCAAATACCATTCTCATTTTGTGTCCGTCCGTCCAATGCGTCCACGGCCGCGAAAAACTATTCTTTTTAAAATTTTTTTAAAATTCAATTTTTAATGTTTTATCCGTTTTTTTGGCAATTTCGCTATTTTTTTTCTGTATATACCGTCTATAAATTGTTATTTTTTATGGTAATGGTAGTGTATAATGTTCATTTTCATATTTAATCATTAAAGTAAAATATTTAACACAATGCGAACTAAGAGAGAATGATATCTGAGAGAGAAAGATAAGTACTCTTTGACGAATCGAAAGAAGACTATGTTTGGAATTTTCAAGTTGGTTTCAATGACCAACTGGAGCGCCACGAAGCGAGAATATAAAATGGAATTTTGTGAACACACTCAGAAGACCTTAAAAAAAAACAAAAATTCCAAAACGGGAGTAAAAGGATTTCCCTTGTTAGGACGTAGCATCAATGAATCCGAATTTGACTGAGAAACTGATGGTGTCATATCTAACTTCGAACGATATCTAGATTATTCGTCCGGATTACTTTATATTACAGTTTCAGCTTCTTCATATAAATGTTTATTCTCAATATGTGAAATTACATTGTTTTAAGTGCTATCTTTATACTAATTCGCTTTACTCAAAGCTCGTTAATAATAACTCGAAAACTGGTATGTTTTAAAAATATGAAAATGTGAACCCTAAAAAAAAGGAAAATGAGCTGAACATAAGAATAAAATTGATTTTGAAGGTTTGACGAAAATACGGTCATTTTTAATCAAATAAACTGACCTGCGATAATCCAAGAAATTTGGCAAAGCATATAAGTAACTTCGATTGATGATGGTTTGAGCTCAATTAACGATGAAAAAAGTCTTCCGATTATATTTTCCATTGTGGTGGTCAACATTCTAAACTATTTGAAAAAAAAAGTTGAAATCGCAATTCGCACCGTGAAATTTGTTCGCTTGGAACATCGGTAATTTCGCTGAAATCTACCGTGAATTGTTGACGACGACAAATAAGCGAATCATTCAAAATAAGCAACTGAAATTTGTTTGTTACTTTTTCACACAACTATTATGATTTTGTGAAACATACATTGTCTTCAACGCCTTTTCTTCCAAATATTCGAACAGTCATATCGCAGCGTTCGAACCTACTCCACACATTCCAAACAATTTTGAAAAACAAATACTTTAAAATTGAATTTTAAAAATTGAAATAAAGCTTGATTACTTTATCCTCCGACGAAAGCCTTCGAAAGTGATCATCATGAACGAGCCAATCAGCAACAATATGCATGTGCCTCTCAAAAACTGTTAAAAGTTTACGCACTTTCATAGTTTTAATAAACTGAAAATTAAATTTATAATAATTATTTTTTCTTAATCTCCACACTTCAAGTTGATCAGCCGGTCTTTGCTGCTCTCTCCATTTCCGCAGGCCATATTCCATTTTCATGAGCGGATTCAGCTTTGCCAAATCATGATTTTCGGCTAATGGGTTTTTCTTTAATATTTTGATGTATCATATATGTACACTCATCTATGTATATTTTACATGATCTAATATCGCTCTGATTTGCTTTGCTAACGGCGATGTATCGTACACGAGTTTCGAATGCAATGTTAACTGAAATCTATTCGGTTCGCAATCAACGTTGTTTGGGGATTCATTTAAAGTTTGTTTCTGAAACAATAATCTATAGATGGCTACGACTACTTTCACAGTTATGCCATTCGTTCGGATTCGCTTCTTCGACTCAATTTTCCGTCGCAATGATACTGCACATCTTTAAATGCCATTCTTAGCATTCTTCTCGGTAAAAAAAAACATAACTCACTATCTGGTGTCATTCCCAGTGAAACGCACTTGTTGAATCGACAAAGACGACATTGATATCTAAAAAAAGAAAACAGTTAAAAAGGAGAAAATATTTTTCAAATTTTGATGGAAAAAATCGGACCGACAGTACCTTGCAAACTCTTTGCCAGATACTTTCTACGAAGCAGGTCGAGTATGAATCTTTCGCGTTTTTTATCAATTATTATTTCAACTTTCTTGTTAATTAACTTTTATTTTCTACGTTTTTTAAGTCCAGAAATATTGTGAACATTTGCAAAAAAAGGAGCAAGGTTTAAAGTCCCACTATTTAAAGGCGAATTTGAATAACCGAAAAAAGTACGATGGTCCACAATTATGAAAGACGCTCGTTTTTTGCGATGATAATGATTTACATGTCTAACATTATTGAATTTTAAGCTTTTAAAATTAATTCTGGAATTTCGCGACACAATACTCTGCTAATTTTAGAGCAGTTTGCTCAACGGTTTGGGATGGGCTTCTGGCGCGACCCCCTTGACGAGCGTTGCTTCGTGTTTTCCCGTCCTAGGCTACCCGATGCTTGCCCCGATTTGTCCCAAGACCGCCCGATGCTCGCCCAATTGTTCCCCGACGGGCTGCCCCGAAATTCGCCGATTAGCAAATGACTCATTCTCGTAAAACTATCCTCTTACAGAAGTCGGCAGGAGCAATATTTATTCGAAAAAATACCTTTCAGTGCTACTAACAGAGCATTTTGCCTTTCCACCGCGGCATTTGTATTTCTTTGCACAATCTAGAACTACTGTTCGTCTAAAAAATTGTTTTCTTTAAAATATTTTATTTATTAACGTTTCCGGCAACCTGAAAAATGCAGCACACGCTCGACACGAAAGCACTCCAAAATGAAGGCCGTGAGCAGACGTCGAGCACACTTTGCAAAGTGCCGAATCTTTCGACGATGAGCTCATTTGTATTCTTTTAAATCCTTTATTTAATATCTTAAAATGAAATGTCTTGTGATACAAGCCAAATCATTAGGAATGTTTGGAAAATTACTAAGAAACAGCAAAATACTTACAAATGGTATTAAACCGGATGAAAAATAAAACGAATAATTTATAAAAAAATCTTCATCGTGAAAGAAAAACAAAAACAAAAATTGAGTTCACCACATATTCGAGGGTAAAACAAAAATAGACATGGGAATGAGAAAAATTTAATGACACTCTGTAGATTTTAGAAAAAAATTCGAAACCTGCTTAAAAACAGTTCTTCAATTTGCACATCGTTTTTGACTTTTCTCTCAAAGATGAAATAGTCTATTTTGATTAATCTTTTTTATAATACAATATAATTATTATTACATTTCCGTTATGGAAAGCTCCAGTTTCTCGTTTTGCACACAAATTTTGCGTACAAAATAACAATATCAATTCGACGTTAATATTCGGCCAAGTTCTAAAATTTTCTTGTTTCTGCATTGGTTCTTCGAATTGTATTTAAATACTCATAAATTACTTTTTTTTAAATATCAAAATATCATTTGTTAGGCTGTATATAAACTTCGGTCTTTTCCATTATTTTTGAATACGTCGAAGATGTATGCCAGCTCCAATATTTTGTTCCGTTCAGCGTGAATTCTCTTAATTTTTTACATTTTCTCATAGAACATCGCCATCTAATTTCATACCTTAACATCTTTAATAATATTCATAAACGGAATTATTCGATGAGCATAATTGTTTTGGTTTTGGCTAACGTAGTAATCATGAATATTGTTCGCATATTCTTCGCATGCTTTATCCGCAATTTCAGCAACTTCTCCTCCAATCCCTTTTCCTTTAAATTTGTTTGATAATTGAATTATAATTATTATTGGAAATTCACCAGCTAATGTCCAAACCATTTGACACAAAATGTATGTTATTTCCACTGATGTTGGCTTCAATTCATTAAATCGAGACGTCAGAATGCCCATCATTTTTTCCATTGAACCACGGAACATTCTTAATATAATTTTTTAAACAAACCCTCTTTTTTAAACAAATCTGTTATTTCAATTTTTTCTGTGAATTTGCGTCGCCGTGTTTACACGCATTTTGGCGCGCTACCATCTATTTATTTTTATTTTTTAAACATCAAATTTTAATAAATCGAGACCAAAGACGAAAAAGTGAATGATATTTGCGAGAAAACACAAAAATCTGCAAACATTGTTGTTTTGGCGGCAATTTAAATAATTTTCTCATTTCATAGAAATTTTCGAATTTTGGTGGAATCTTTAATCGAACATACTTGTTTATTTCATCGTTGGAATTGTCCGAAACAGCACTGTAATCAATTCGAAATTCCCCATCACGAGTCGTATATATATCGCTAAATAAACTCAACTGAAAATAAGAAATTTAAAAGATAAAATTTGAAAAAAAATATATATATACTTTTTCAGTGAACACTCGTTGTCCAAATACTTGAATCGACATATCACTTCTTTCGATTTTGTGCCAAATGTTCCAAACGAGTTTGAAAAAATTGAACTGAAAAAAGCGGTATTATTAAATTCCCCTATTGTGATTATTCTTATTATCGAAAACGAACAAACTCGAAATGTTAATGGACGCGCCTTTAATTCGAACTGTATGTATTTCATATTATATCAAAAGAAAATGATTTGCGTCAAAATTCGAATTATTAGCGACGCCACTTTTTCGACAACATTCGTATAAATTGATAATTCTGAAATTCTTACTTTTTGATCGAAAGTCAATTTCCGAAAATGTTCATCGTAAATAAGCCATTTGGCAACAACCAACATCAGCGGCTCAAATAATTCCAAAAGTTTTATAATAGTAATTCCTTTCAAGAACTAAAAATATAAAAGAATTACAGGAATAAGTTCAAAACTCAAACTTTCAGCTTTTCGACGGGTTTTTGTCTTTTCCTCCACTGTCGAAGCGCATATTCCATTCTCATAAGAGGATTCAAGTTTTCTAGATGTGGTTTTCCAAGGAGTGGGTTTTCCTGAAAAGAATCGATATCCGGATACAGTGTCTACATTTAATTTGTCATTTATTTTGGTAAAAACTAACCCAACGTTTTAATCCTATTATCTTTAGGGGAACAAAAACCACTGCAGTTGATCATTAACAATCCCTGAGTATATAGTTTTTATAGTCGTCGAATAAAATGCATGACGCGTCAGCGCGGTGCAAACACACCGACATTCGCCTCTCGCTAAATTTCGGCTTGAAAATTTGCGAATTTCAACTCAATATTTAACAGAGTTTTTCGAAAAAAAAATTATTTTGTGAAAGCGCAATTCCGCTGAGCCGTACAGTGATCAGGACCCGGTCGGGTTCCGATTTCGACAACTCCTTTTTTTTGAGGTTAAAACAAACATGTGTACCTATGAAAAACTATGCAAATTTCGGAAAAAATACACACAATACATCGTCTCACAAGCCGAAATCAGGTGCGACTACGGTGGGCTCGAACTAGTGTTACCGTAAGACATGGCGATCGTTTTGCTTCGCAATAAAATAACGTAAAATTTTCGTTCTTTTTTTAGTTTTTTAAATTTCTTATCTAGTTTCATCTAGTTGATGTTTTTTTTTTTTGAGACCCCCCCCCTATTTGAGTACCTTTTCCAATATAAATTTAATCTTATTTCTTAACATGGTAGTGTCATATATCGAATTGACATCCGGACGTTTCCAAGGACTATTTTGTTCCGAAGATGCTTCTTGACTTTCATCCTAAATCGGTTTCTATTTACGCATCGTTATATGAAAATTGCCAACCGAACTATCATCATTCTTGCACTTCCGGAACGGCACATCTCGATTGTATTGAACATCTGAAAAGACGACGTACTCAAGGGTTTTTTAAAGAAGAAACTCATACACTAGAGTTGGACCGAATTGCAATTTTTAAGAAATAAAGAAATATGAAAAAAAAACGAACATCTAAAAACGACAAAAATCATGAAAAAAAAGTAGCGAACACTGTTTTTAATCTCGATTTTTTCGCTAAATACAATTATAGACTTTTGTTATAACAAATTTTTTGGGAAAATTGAAATTGCAGTTTTAATTATTTTTCATGGAATTTCATCAATTTGGAAAACGATCAATAAATAATTCCGACCAATTTTATCCAACCTAACGAATAAGGTCTAAAAAACTTACTATCTGGGGTCATGCCTAGATTGACACATCTTTTAAAGCGACACAAGCGGCAATGGAATCTAAATCAAAACGTTCAGATTGAAAAATTCGAGACAATTATTAAAGACAGACAATTTCCTCAATCGAATTGTTACGTCATGTAAAATTTTGAACGCGTATTGCGAAATGGGCATGCGAAAATGTGATACTACCGAGAAGTGTCTGTCTTCGACACTACCAACTTTTTATAGTTCGAAACGGAACATGTGTTCTTCGCTCCAGAACGACATTTGAACTTTCGATGAGATTCATTGACTACAGTTCGCCTAAAAATTGGTTTCTCTACGAAAAAAATGAAGAAGAAGAAAACAGGAATACCGAAAAAATGCAGCACATGCCCGACACGAAAGCACGCCAAAATGAAGGCCGTGCGCTTGGAACGAGGAGCACACCTTGCAGAGTGATGAGCTCGATTGTTCATCCATTGATTATCTAAAAACAAATTAAGCAAATCGAACATTATACACAGGCATTCAATGAGATTCACTCAAAATTGCACACATTTAACAGTTTCGAATAAAAATTCAAATTAAGGCTTTGAACCTTTGGCGAGAACAATTTACGACAGATTAAAATGATTTAATGACACAAATAACACAAAAAATACTTAAGAAAACACAGAGAAATACATGGGACAGAAATTTGAGGTTGTGCTTAGAACATACGAACGAATTCGAAAACGCCTTCCTAAATATTGAAAATAATTATTTCGATTATAGTTTCGAGCAAAAAATTACTTTGCATATTCATGTGTCATCAATGTTCACTATTTATTTTTCCTTCAATTGGGTTTCCCAACATTGCATATTGAATTTCTGAAAAATATTCAAAATTAATCTAATTCAATCAGAGAAAATGAGTTTTGAACTTTGAAAAAATAACATTATGAGTCATTGTCGCAGGAAATTTTGTTGAAAATGAAATATGTCGAGTATATGTGAATTAGCAACAAACTAATGTAATCTTCAGGTGATTAAGCGTTTCTTAATCATTTCAAGTGATACAAATAAATGTTTTTTTTTCTGATGCACACGACTTAGGCTAGAAGAAATATGCGAGAAGGAGGCGTACTTTGAATTTCATGGCGATATGCAGATTTTGAAAAACAAATTCTCAAAATAACTGGTTAAAACTAACTTTTTTCGGTTATATTCAGTGGATTTTTAAGGGGAAATGCAGAGAAAAATTTGAGAAAACGCAGAATTGCACATTCGTATTTTTAAATAAAATAATCTAATTTCACGAGATTTAATCCCCCCCTCGAAAAGCCGACAAAATGCATGCAGGCAAAACCGGAAGTTTTCACTTTTTTGACCACTACTGTACATATAAACACACCATACTTTCAATCCATTTGCGTAATTTCATAACATGATGCGATAGTCCTAACATTCTGGTGTCATTCCAATTGTTATGCATTCATAGTGCAAACGCCAAAAAATCTGAAATCTATTTTTTTCGTTAAAAGAATTTTAAGAATTTTGAACATTTTTTTGTTGAAAATCTTGCCTGAAATTTGTTAGTCGAATGTTTGACAGATTCATACTGTGGAATGTATAAAGAAATGTAACATTTCGTGAATCGCCATTGACCAATAAGAAGACCATTTAAATAATAGATGTTTCTATTATGTATATATTCTGATATTCTTCTATTTCTTCTTTTTATTTCTAACAAATTAGTAATTCTGGATCCGATATCTGAATTTTGAAGACATCGAACAGCATGCATAATTTCATCATTTCCTCTCTTTCTCTTTCAATCGCCTAAATTTAAGGAATTCGTGTGTAATTGTCTTCGTCGAATTCTTACCTTCACACGATTCACAATATTCATCATTTTTTGAAGGCGAAGAGCATAGTGAGGATTCTTCTTTTCAGTCGTATAATAATTGTGGAGATCGTTGCTCAATTCTTCCAAAAATTCTTGGCTCACAACTTCAACTGAATCGATGCCAACTTCAACACCTAAAAGCCCATAAAGTTCAGATGATGTTAGTAGATCTGAGTATTGGGGGTCTAAAAAAAACAAAAATGAAATCGAAACATACCTAATCCGTTGAAAACTAACTGACATAACATGAATGTCATTTCAATAGTGGTTGGATGAATCAGTGCCAATGGTTTGGCAATTTCATTGAACATTCGTTGGATTTGATGACCAAAAAGTCTGCAATTCATCATTCATTTTTTTCTGAAAATCTCATTTTAAGCTACCTATCCATTTCCTCTTTAGGACGATCAGAAATTGGCGAATAATCTATTGTAATATTATCAATACTTACAGCATTATAATTGGAACAAACCATCAACTAAATATATAAAATAATTGGGAATAATTATTGGTTTATCATACTCTATCTTCGTATACTCGTTTGCCGAATGTGTCAACAGAGATCATCCATTTTTCGAATTTCCTCCAACGAGCCCACACTTTTTTGAATATTGTCATCTGAAAAATTACGAATTAAAAAAAAATTGAAAAACAAAGAATTAAAAAGAAAACTTCTTACTTTCTCTTCAATGTTGAGTTTTCGAAAACTTTCGGAATGGAGTAGCCAAAGAGCAACACGGACCAACTCATTCTCCCATTTTTTGTCAGGAACTTCAGCTTGAATCACTCGCTCAAACTGAATTCAAATTCTTTGAAATTGCATTTCAAATGATTTTTACCTTCAAATCGCTAAACTTCCTTTCGGCTCGATAAGTCCAAAGAGCAAATTGCATTTTCTCGAGAGAATTCATTTCGAAATATTCCGACGACAATTTGAATGGGGTGCTCTAAACGAACACTCCGTCACACGCATTTTCTTTGAATTGACAAATTACACTTGATAGAATCGTTTTAAGACGGTTTATGGTCGGCGTCACGTCGATGTAAATCTTCGAGTTTTTAAGAGATCTTGGCAAATGCGTTGGTGGAGGCGAAATCTAAAAACGCGTTCGAATATGGGAAAATTCGAATGAGAAACCTTTTCCAAACTATAAGAGCCGTCATACGGTAGTCCATCGCTCTCAGATGAAGATGTGCTTTCAAATTGAACGTCTGTAAATAAATTCATATGTTTTTTGGTCTCATTGGTATTAATAAATAATCGCTGTGATTCATCGAACTTACTCTCGGGCGACATTCCGATTTCTTTGCACTTTCGGAGGCGACAAGCTCGGCATTGATATCTACAAGCAAATTTGAATGATCCGTTCAAGACTCAAATATTTCAATGCAGAACTTCGAACACACACCTATCATTTCCGAAAACCTGACACTTTCCATTCTTGAGCCGACATTTGTACTCTCGTTTCAGAACCCACGAACGTCTGAAATGATTTTCGATGACTCATGAAGGCACAAATCAGAAGTGGCAAAAGACAAATTACCTAAAGAATGCTGCACACGCACGACATGAGAGGATTCCGAAATGATTTCCACGAGCCGGAAGACCGCAAATCAAACAGGCGGGTATTGCTACGGCCGAGCACGACGGCGAACTTTCACTCGATGACGAAGCGGACACGACCACGTGCTCTTGATCCGACGACATGCCCTCTATAATAGTATTTTTGAAAATTCCTCATAACACTATGCCTTCTAATGAAAACAAGGACTGAATTTTAAAATAATTTTTGAGCAACTATTGTCAAAGACAGACGAATTTGGCAAATGTGAACATGGACCTATCTATCTATGTACATATGTATTCATGAAATGTAATTGCTTACAAAAATGTAAATAAATTACATCAAACCTTAGTTTCTTTTTTGCATAATTGAGAAATTACGTTTTTTTTTCAACATTTTTACTGTATTAATAAGTTCTTAAAGGTTCACACACGTAAGCAAAAGCATTTATCATTTTTGATGAATTCTCGATTAAAAATATAAGAAACATTAGACGACTGCTGTTTTTTTTTTCGGACAAAGCTTTTCGTCTCTCCATGTGAATGTTCATTTATTAATTTCCGTGAAATTTGTATTTTCTTTCTTGATGAACATGTCATTTTTTCTTAAATTTCTAACATCATTAAAATTCAATATTATCGAAGCGAGAAAAGTTTAGAAATTGCAAAAAATTTTCACAACTACATATATAATGCCCGACATCGTTCGATTTCTTTAATACGGTTTTATGTTCATGGTGGACAATTTTCCTGCACAAAACGAATAACAACAAAGTCGAGACATGATGGTTTTTCACAATGGGAAATTAGTCAAGCAGAAAATATTTCATAGATCGGTGCGATCAGCAAATTCCTCAAGTATGTCAAACAAGATGAGATGAATGACGATTCATTTGAATAATGACGAACGGTAGCGCGTATATTAAACAGAAATCATCAAACAAAGATCATCAAAAACCAGGGTGTCGAGAGGGCAATTATCGACTAAAATGGGTATTTTACGGGTAAACGGCTACCAAGGGTATTCATTATGGCAAACCACCGTCACCCGCCGTTTTGTGTTTATTAATTGTACGCATAGAGCAGTCAGAAGTAGCCTGCGATCAAATGAATATGTTTCAGAATTGTCAATATGAGGGTCTGTCGAAACCTGCCTTTTCGATTTATTCATAGAATCTACTCATTTCGATTTTTGATCAATTTATTCAAAGATACTATAATGTTTATTTTTCTCTTGGGGGTGATGAGACAGTAGTTCTGACTCATGGCCGGAGATTATGGTCTGATGGCCCGCGGCCACACTCCTAGTCTGCGACAACTCAAAACGTGCTATGTAAATAAAGAGAGAGTACACAGAGAAGAACGTAAAGATCAACTCGAAACAATTCAACATGACAGGTAATTTACTACTACAAACCACATTTATTACTCGTCCGTTTGCAATAAAACAACGAAAAGAAGATTTTAACAATTTTATCTAATATTTGTTTTTTTTTTTCAAATTTGAACTTTGAAAGAGAAACAAGTTGAACAGAACTTTTTAACATATGTTTTTGAGTTAAAGGGTACCCTAATGGACCTTTTCTATAAATTTAAAAACATGATTTTTAGAAGAATATATTTTAAAAACATATAAGGAAAAACATTGCCTTTTTCAAATCGCAGAACAGAATCATAATTACACAAATGAACAAGTGAGAAGCTGTTTAATATGTTGCAAATGGAAATATGAAGCATTGCTTCCGAATTAATCACTATTTATCACAGTTTATTTGCAACTTTTTTGAAATGATGCAATAATAGAAAGTTGTCAACAGTTTTATTTTGAATCTTCTCGATAGAAAGTATTGTTTGAAATAAATTATAAACAAATTACTTATAATTCAAACGATGGCGGTGGTGGTTGCTAGGCAACATCCCAACAAAGAAGCATGACAACAATCAAAGTGGTGTATATTGAGAGTAAATAAAATAGAAAAAAAATAAAATTTTGATATCTAATTCTGCTAGAATTGAACAACGAGTGTATCGGCTAGAAACGAGAAACTCGCATTGAACAAATAGCGCGAGAAATAGTGTGTATTTGTCGTATACGTGCGAAAATATTCAATGCAAAAATCGATTGTAAAGAAGTTTATCAAACCCTTTAATTCTGCACTTGAAATAACAATTTTGAATTTTTTGACTGTTTCATTTATGATAGGCTTTTTCATTATGTTTTGTTTTAATTTGGGGCATCGTTCGTTAATAAAAAAAAAACGTCCGATCAAAAAACAAGCGTAATTTATCAAAATGAATTACGAATAAAAGTGGTAAACTAAAATGAACTGAACATACGTCACTTTCCTCGCGAACCTATGATAGTTATTTCGCAATGCCAGGTCGCACTCTTCTTTTCGACCGCAAATCAAACATACAACAGACTCGCATCGGTGTTGGCAACTGCATAAAATCCGTGAGAGAGGGCGAGGAAGGCACATTCGTGTACGCATTTTGTCGCCGCAACGCCCAGCAGAGACAAGGCGTAGTGGAAACGCTGGCCGCTGTTGCCGGAGAGTCGCGTTTTCGACTACGTGCGCGATGAAATATTACCATCTTTCGGGGCATAACATTATTGATGATAACCTTTATCTTGCTGAGCGCGCGTTTTTGGTTTTTTGTTGCATATTAATGGAGAAAATTTATGAACTGTAAATTAAAAAAAATCTTACATAAGAATTGCATTTTAACAAAATTTCATCAGGAAATTGTGTAACATTTCTATATTTTTTGCATTAATAAGTCCATAATTTGTTAATTCTGTGTCCTAAAGACGTTTTTTGTAATATGATACTACTCGGTATGTTATATCGAACACCGCGCGAAATGAATTTTTAAAGTCAATGCTAAAAAAAAGAGTACCCCTTATTTGGAGAACTCTCTAATTGCGTATAAAACTAATTTTAACCGGTTTTTGTAAAGACTTTTTTATACGAAACATAGCGTTTTTTACATACAATTAATGGAACCTGTAGTTGGAAGAATTGTTTATAAAAAAAGTTGCCTTATCAAATCCACGTATTTTGTAGTTGAATGAAATGCAGAGCAGTTTCTTCAGCGGCATTCCGCTTTGGTTTAATATACGTCGGTTTGAGACGACGTTTATGGAATATCAATCGATTAATGAATGCAATCCTCCAATCGCGTATGCTTGTTAGTGCAGCTGTCGCCATTATGATTGGACTGCTGAAAGTGCACAAACCAAAAAAAAATTGCGATTAAAGTACAAACGACTCACGAGAGAACAAATAGTTCAGTTATTAGGAACACAGCTGATATGGGCAATATTTCGAATGTCATTGCTAAAAGGGCTATCGTGATTGCGATAGATTGAAAAAAATTACTGAAAATGGGGGATAGTCGCTCCGCAAAGAAATATCGATGTTTTGGAAATATCGACGAACGCCAAGGCCATCCAATATGGGAAAAACCTGGTCCAATCGTTGCCAAATCAAAATGACGACGTTATTTCTTTAAAATAGGCAGCAAATATGTATAATACTGCGTTCACGCGGGTGGATTTATAAATGTAAAACGCAATATTTCATTCGTAACAAAAAACATTGAAAAACGGAAAAAAAACGCAATTGAGATTGCGCAAACATAATTTGAAAGGGGCAAATCACAAAAATATCACTGAAACTACATAATATATCAAAAATAAAACAAAAAAGAAGCAGAAATAAATTCTGCGTTATTTCGGTGTGAAGAAAAATATGTTTATTTTTGGCCAAAAAAATGCACCAATTATTTTAATTTCGCTTAATTTCAATATTCCGTGGTTTTTTTTTCGCCCGTTCTCATCATTTGTATCTCTACGATCTCGAAACACCTAAAAATTGGACATCCAAAATTTAAAAAAAAATTTGTACGTCAATTTCCGATATTTTGTCTCAAATATTTACCTATTCACGTACGTATGATAGCTAATCAATGAAGGACAGAGAAGACTTGAGAATGAAATTGAAAATGATATTGCGGACTTGTGCATTTTATTTGACGACAATACGCATGTTGTTTACTTCGAAATCGATGTTTTCCGCGACGAATTAACGTGGTATTTTCAGTTTTTATATTTTTTTCAGTTTATTTGTATTTTCAGTTTTTTTTTTCTTAAATCTCTATCCTTATTTTTTCGGTTTTTCAAAATCTCGTTTCAGTGATATTTTGATGATCCACTCCACCCCCTTTAACCAAAAAATTACACAAAGGAGTAATCTCGATTTGAAACGAAAAATCGAAACCTGTACAAGAATGTCGCAATTGTTCTCTCGATAATGAATGCTGCGCTAGAGGCGGTTATCATGCCAAAATAATGCCACATAAGGAAAGACCCAACTAACAGAGGAACGTTTTTCCACGTGTTCTCAATGTGGGGAATATTTTCATTGCACTCAACTCCGAATACTGCATCGCCTAAGCCTGAAAAAAAAACCGATTCCCATGTCAGAAGACGTTTTAGTTGTTATATTTTATGAAAAAAAAATGCAAAAAAAAACTCGGCAAGTAATCAAGCATCGCTTTAATATTTCGGATATTTTCGATTCTTTAAGCTTTTTTCATTGGCACGTTTCAAAGCTTTGAGATTTTGGAAGAAACCTCAGAAAAACTACATTGTTTTTAAGCTTTCCGCCCCCACAAAATATTGTCCTTAGAATCCTCTATTTGAAATATACAAATTTTACCTTCAATTTGTATGATACCGTATTTATAAGGAGCCACAATTATAAATCCAACGAGAACTTCGAACCAGCACGAAAATATGCAAATGATCACTATATTTGCGTGATAATGAAATTTACGGACATTGCAAATCACAGATAGCATTGTGTACGCTATATATGTGCATATAAGGAGATAAACGCATATTATTGAAAATATTGGGATGTTTGAAAAACGAAGAAACGAAGTATCATTGAGTTGAAATATTGGAAGCCACAATCGAAATTCGCCCAAAATGATGATCATCGCATCGCAAATATTGTACCAATTTAATTTTACTGAAAAAAAAAATGATAAAGAAGGCCAATGATTTTATTTTGGCAACAACAAACAGGTGAAAACCTATTTTATTTTACTTTTTAATATCGAAATTATTTAGCTGT